AAACCTGCCATATTTATCTGAAAATAAGCCCATGCCCACATATGAGACCCGTTCTTAATTTCTGCTGAATCGTAATTTTTAAAATAGTAAGCTAGAAGTTACTGACAGATAAGCCCTCCCTAAACATCGATATTCAACATTCACACTAGGGGAGGGGAATTATTTAAGGATGAATATGATAAAAACATGTTATCACTATAAGTCCCTATTAGTGTATGTCACTTCATATTTGCTTAACCTCTTTACACTCATTATTTGGCTTGGCAAAATGGCAATAGATTGAGGCTATCTGTCCTTGATTCTGAGACAAATACGATCAATTTTTACCTTGTGTTCTTTAAAGACAGCAGAAAAAAACATCTGACAGACCACACATTTACAAACATTCTAATCTATGCGACTTCTGATGAACATCAATAATGCTGATATTTTTATCGTTGTTTATATGGATTCAATATAAATTAATTTAAAATGAGAATTAAACACAATTTTTAATGTTTACAAGAATACTAATGTGCCAGACATATAACTACAACCAAGGATGGCTCAGGGACTACAAATGATAAATTGTACCTAAAATATCAATTAATCTTTTTAACCCTTTATTATGACGAAAATAAAATTTGAAAATTTCATTTCATCCCTTAAATCATCTTTTAGTTTTTTAAATCTTTTGATTCTCCATTTTTGGATATTGAACAAGTAACAACTAGACAAGTCAAAAGCATGTCTCTAACAAATTTCTTTTAGACATTTTAAGACCTTACTAGCATAAGAGATTCGAGTTTGAATAAATTTTGTTCTATGAGTACAAGTGGCATGCTTTACTCAAACTCAGGTGGAAAGTCTCAAGGTATGTTGGTTAAGAGAGTTTAAAACAAAGTGAAAACATGATACTCAGACTTATGGCACTCAAATTCTAATAATGAGTGAAAAACCATGCATACATTTGAGCCCAACAAGTACCCAATTTGATCAGCAACAAGCCTGTGTCTTGTAAGTAACCCATCAATTGCCATTTGTAGCATTACCAAAAGCTCTATTTTCAATGTCCTATAAAAATCAATGATCACTTTTAATCATTGCTTTTTTTATTGTCCAGTAATAAGCTCACCCCCTGACTTTGAGTCATTACTATTTTTAATGTCACATAAGCCCATCACATGACTTTGAGTTATTACTTCTTCTATAGTCCCATAATAGGCCCACCACCTGACTTTGAGTTATTACTTCTTCTATAGTCCCATAATAGGCCCACCACCTGACTTTGAGTTATTACTTCTTCTATAGTCCCATAATAAGCCCACTACCTGACTTTGAGTCATTATTTATTTTTGTTCCGTTATAAGCCCACCACCTGACTTTGAGTCATTATTTATTTTTGTTCCGTTATAAGCCCACCACCTGACTTTGAGTCATTATTTATTTTTGTTCCGTTATAAGCCCAACCCTCTTAGAGTCAAAAGTAGTATACTAATCTTTCAGCTTTTTGCATGATGTTTACCTTGTGTGAAAACGATTCCTAAAAACTAAAAACGAGAGACAAGTCAAAATCATACATATCTAAAATTGAACTATATCTGTCACCCAAATAGCCTTAGCTTGGCAGTTAGTCAATCCACAGACAGCCAAGCCCTGTTTTAACAATCACCTGTACCGGTCACCTATTACTGACATTTTATCATGTAGTTACATAAGAGTATTAATTAGACAATTGACATGAACTTTCAACATTATAAACTTGATAGCAAGTTTATATTTAGGATAATGGTTGCTTTATATCAAGTGTTTAATTTATTCTATAGAAGAATACACATTTTCCATTTATTTTTTCATAAACATGAATCGTCTCAACAAATGAATGCCCCGTTAAATATTACTTGACTGTGACCACTAACACACGCTTGTATATTATTTTTGTTCTGTAGATTTACTTACAAAATACTTTCATTTGTCTTGTAATTAAACTTGCCCTTTACCTGGAATCAGAAACAGTATGCTGGCCTCTTGTCTTATGGTGAGATAACTATGGTTTGACTCCAGTTTTAAATACTCAATGAGAGAGGCCAATTCCTTCATTTCAAACAGACTTCAAATAATCCCACGCATTACTGCAGGATAAATGTGGTTCATAGCTACTTTCAAAAAGGAGGACATTTCATTTGACTGAACATTCAAAATTCCAATCACATGTTGTATTGAAACATCATGAATATTTCATAATTATCAATATTTGGTAAACAAGACATAATCAAATTTACAATGTAACACAGGCAAATATAATAGTATGTATTGATATATATATATATATTAATTGCTACATCATCTCACTGATGTATTTACACCATATGTACAAGAACATCATATTTCAGCACTTCCTATGAGTAATATTATACTGATACTACATGATATGCACATAAAACATACTTTAAAGCTGTAAAGTTTGTAATGGAATGGATATGGTAATGAATATTAGCAAAAGTTTTATCCAAATATTCACGATTCAAAATTGAACCTTTTTTTTCCAAGATCTGCAGTATAAAGTGTTCAAAGTCATCAAATTACAAGGTTTTCAGGAGTATGTATCATATCTAAGAACTTCCTGCATATAGAACTATTTATTTACAAAATTGTCTCACTGTTTCCACTAGTCTGAATTATTCTGAAGTCCAATGGGTCTGGAGTCAGAATAATTCCAACTATGTTCCTATCTCATAGCCAACTACTAGCTAGCATCTCTTTGGCTGACTGAGTAGTATCACAACATTGGTTATAATAAGACCAGTTTGAGTCAATTGAGATAATTAAGTACACCTGTAGCAACATTATGGTCATAATGATGTACCTGTAACAAAACCTTGTATATTATGCTTTCAGTAGCATATTTCAAACATCTGTCAGGTATCAAATCAACCAGTCAAAATAATTTGATTTTTTGCAAATTTTGTAGAATATTCAGACAGGATTGTAGAGTAGACATCTAGAGATCAGATTATAATAATACTGTATAATGTGTTTTTTTTTCACTATTGTCTTTTTTCGCTTTACAGAGGTATAATTTTCCTTGGTAAATATATTGACAAATTTTAATTGTGTGAGTTATCTCCCTTGAAAACGAGTAATATGCTATGGATTGAAGCAAGTGGAGCCCATTCCGACATCTGATGAACTATATGACTGCAGTATTGTCATTGTGTAAGACATGTTTAATTCTTTTTGGTATGATATTGGTTATAATGAAACTGTGCGAGTTGATTGGCATAGCAATATTCCAATATTTCAATCTGTCTCACCTTTAACAAAACATATATCACACTTTCAGCAACAATTCTCAACATCAGTGAAAAATTTTGCTTGTTGTCATTGAAAAAACAATGACTTTCAAAGCAAAATTAAGACTAAAAATATCATTCTGACCTGTCTCAACAATTATACACCTCTTACATGTTGAAGAATCTTCTCATTTCTATTTTATTCATATAAGAAAAAAATTCACTTAACACGGGTTAACTCTACCCAATCTCTGAGCAACTGGGGCCTTGTAGCTATCAAATTAACCAGCCATTTTTTATTTTTTAAATAGTTCAGAATGCCATGTTTACTTCAGGTATGATTGTAGATTATACTTCTTTAAGATCAGATAATTACAATTATACTTAAACATATCACTCAAAAAACTCAAAAAGTTAAACCTTAAATCCACCGTTTTTCCTATGAGAGACACTGGTACAGTCCAAACAAACAAATAAACATCCAGTTATATATATGTTATACATACGTTGGCTGAAAATCTTAATAATAAACTGCAACTTAACAATTAACAGGTCATTGCCTTATTATCCAAGTTGTATTCAAAACACTGTTTTAACAATTGATTTCAGGATGGCATAATAACCTGCTACTTATCTAACCATATACAGAACTTTTGCTATTTTTATTTCAAATCCAAGCAGGAATTACTACAATTTTCATCTCAATAGGCAATTGATTTATTAATTAGAGAAGGGCATATATAATATCATCTATTTGTTTTTCTTGATATCAGTATTATATCAAATCAGTTTTTTCATTCCATTTTTGAGTGAAATCTCTATTTTTTGAAAATTACTTAGTTACATATTTTTTCATTGATTATTTTGGGACAATGAACAAAGTTAGCCTTTCAAGCAAGCATATCTGTATGATAAAACAAAGGAATATAGTGCTGATTTCAAGAAAGGTCAATAGACCAGTCTTATTTCAAAGAAAGTTTATATTCAAAATGACAAAGGAATGTTGTTTAACAAGAATGACAGATATTCTAATAAGCTTACTATGAATATTCCAGGAATAAATGTTCATATCTAGCCTTTTCAAAGTATCAACTACCATGGAATAATGGGGAAAAATGAGGGAAACACAAAAAAAAAAATCAGTGTTTTCACTTTGATATCTCAAAAAATAAAGTAAGTGGATAGGTGAAATATTTCACAAGATATTATGCATAAGTTACACACACAATTTTTAAGACTGTACTTGCATGACATTTGTCAAGCACAAGTGGGGTATGGATTGATATCAACATATTGTAATTATTTCTTTGGATACCTATCTTTGAGGTAGGACTACCTATACCACCGGATTCTCACTGGCTTAAAAAACAACTTTAATATATATATTTTTCATTACTCATCAAATTTGTAATGACAATAATTATCAAAAACTCCCGAGTGGAATGCCCCTCCTCTCTTCTCCACAACCAAAATAAATGTCTGATCAAATTGTTCGTGGTTAACTGAAAAATGACATTTCATTCCTACCAAATCATAAATCAAAAACCTGTACAAACCAGAACAGTCTGTAAAATTAATCCATTGCATCAAGTTTTGTTAATACTGTTAAATATATAATGTTTTATGTGATGAAACTGGGTTCAATAACTTGCATCAAATATTGTTTACACGGTTCAATGGTTTCTGATTAAGTTCATTAATGCTTCTAGACCTGTGAGTTGTCTCCCCTCACCAGTAGAGGACTGGGCCCCACATCATGGATCCGAGTGCTGCCCCAGCCACCATGCCCATAGCCAGGTCACCTCCATCATAGCGTCGACGGCCATATAGATATTGATCTTGTAATTGGTTCACATAGACAATGTTATTTGCAGGCTGACTGGCAGGTGGAGCCATGACTAAGGAAAAATACAAAACAAAAACGTATGGGAGATAACTCATGTAGATCGTAAAAGAAAAGTATTTAGTGATATCTTTTCGGATACAAGCTGTATTGTTGGGAACACTTTGCATTATCATTCAAAAGTGTATAAAGTCATTTTAATATACATTTTCCCCCATGTCTTCATACTTTATTTTACATAAGAACCTAAAGCCTTACTAAAAATAGTATTTCCTGTTTCTGGTAATTCTACCTTCCCTAATATTATGTGCATACCCTAAACTTTTTAAGGTAGTTTTTATTTTTTACTTCTAAACCATATGAAAGCATTTGTTGAAATGAAATAAATTGCCTGCCTATCTACCCTAAATTTTTCCCTTCATGTTGCAGCTTTTTTTAGTTTGGTCCAATTTGTACTTGAGAATAAATTAGCCCACTGAAAACTTGACTACTGATCAATACTTTGATATGATACATGTATTTAAAACATAATGACAAGTTTCTAAGAAAACATTTCCAAATGAAGAGAGTAGATGAGGAAAAAGATCATTCCAATGCAATTTTCATGTGTCGGTTTTCAGATATCTTCGTTCAAATGTGTTCTTACAAGTAACATATAAACTAGAGTAAAAGGTGGGTTTAAACTACCAAGTGTAATAAGAAAGTAAAGCAGCTGAAGTTTGAGAATGAAACAAATACCCTTATCTCCGATATGATGAAGACAGAGTGGAATAGAGACAACCCAAATCTACTGTCAGAAAATTTTGGTTGAAAACAAAATATGAAGAGCAAAATATATAAAAATCTGAAACAATTAAAACTTGTCTTGCAGAATTAAACTCCATCAATTCAATGAAGAAATTATGGCACACCTAAAAAGAGAAACAGTATTCTGAAACTTTTATAGATTAAGAATAAACTAAATTGTGATGGACAGACAAAGGCTACCAGCTTCTCACCAATTCATGGCAGGGTGATAATTTTTTCTTTGTAAAACTTTGATTTGAATTGAATTTGAATTTGATTTAGTGGTAAAGTTTTACTTAACATATGTAAAGTAAACCTACCAGTAGTATAGGGATTGGTAGATATCACCTGGCCGGGGTAATAGTATTGGACCTGTTGCCGTGGATACACCACACTGCTAGCACCGGCCACTTGGTAAGGATAGGACCGTAGGTCTGTTGCTAAATTAGCTGTGTAAATCGGTGGTCCAGCTGTGTAGGGTGGTGGCAGAGCATGAACAGCTGACCCAGGGGGAAGAACTCTGGCCTCCTCTAAAGCTATTTGCCATGCCCTAAAGTTACCAAAAAGATTTTGTCTCTGTCCAAGTTTATCTGTTACAAAATTCTCCAAAAGTATTTGTAACATTTTTCAAGCCTCCAGTAATAACAGATCATGATTTCATCCCACATTCAGTGCTGTTTAGAGATGCGCCTCAAAACACTGACCTTAATATATGTCTAAATTCAGCTCTAATTCAGGGAATTTAAAACAGACAATTTTTACCACTTTCAAAATTTAACTTAACATGTTGTTTGTCGAATAAAGTTAAGTTTTAATGATAATAGGTAGCTTCCGCCCCAACAAAAACTTCACAGACGATGCATCACAACATCAGTTCATTGCCCTTTAGTCAGAACTAGTTTTTATTTACTATGATGTTCTGAATCCTATACAGATCTAAAACTCCTTTTTCCCTTACCTCATGTCATCTGGATCTTCAGCACAGAGACGGAGTTCTCCATCACGTAGGATCAAAGTGAGTAAGCAATCCTTTGTCTTACCCTCTGGAGCAGAGTTCTCACACTGTTAAGTCAATATAATCAATATAAATCTACAGGACAAAGTGCCATACGATGACGTTATTAATATCAATCAAATAAATAATGATCAACAAGACATAAGTTTGAACAAAATTTTTATTTGGCCAATTATGTGTCCCAGCTAACACATTAAAAAAAAAGTAGGATCTGGGTATAGATATACAGGCAAAGAAATTTGTTCCACTAACCGGTTAACTTCACTGATTCATTTTAAGTATTCACATAAGTTTTAAGCAAAGACTTGGTTATCAAATTGTCAGTAATGGGGTCAAACTTTGAAATCAGTGATTGCTGAGCTTTGCCTGATAAATCATAGACATAACTAGACAAATAAAGGCTTTGAAAGGCCTGAAATATTGATGAAGTAAGCATACCGGACATAAAGATATTTTCTTTTATCCTGCACTACTCACCAACTGCCCTGCCTGAATAGCACTACACACAGCTCTAACTACAATACGGGCCTCTGGCTCATGACTGTTGGGACTCTCAAAGTATCGAAGATCACCATCCTGGTATAATACAAACCAAGTCTTCTTCCACCGTCGAAGTATGGTACCTAAAATTACAATTTAAATTCCGAAGACATTGATGCTTTGCTCTTTTATCTAATTCTCTGCATTTTGAATTTAACAACCTAAGTGGCAGTTTATTGAATTATTGCAGAATTAACAGTCTTGTTATTTCAAATATGTATAACTAAAATTAATACTACAATTTTTGCTTCAACAAGTAATCTTCTAGGACATTCTTTTTTGTTTGGTTTTGGAAACACTTTCCAATGATGCTTTGCAAAAAATATTATGAGAAAGTGCTTTCTAAAAACTGAAATACTGAAAGTACATAAAGGGATAAAGAAAAAACTCCACAAAACATCATTTTACTTAAACTGCACTGTGTTACTTATAATGCCAAATTCTCTTTATGCTGATTCTGTTATCTTCATAAAACAGCAACAACTGCACAAATGGAAGCATTTTAGCCAGCACAAGTTGCAAATGCATTGTTATGGCCCCTTCGCTACACTTACTTTGACGGTACAGCCATCCAGCCTTGGCAATTTCTAATGTCATTTTCTTCAGATATTCTGTACTGTCAACAAAAACATTACAACATGTCATAGGGTAATGCACCAACCTACTCAGTAAAATGGTACGTTAGTTTCAGTATATGATCAACATCATATGAATGTGAACTGAATGCAGAATAAAAACATGTCTAAATACTTCCATTCTATTCATTATCAAATCAATTGGAATCTTCTGTATGAAACTGTAGATGAAAATGTAATAGGAAAAAGTAATGAAAACATCCTTCATCCTCTAACTTTTGAACATACTGCAATTAATTTTCATTTAAAAGCAATAGAGCAATTTGGCTATTTAATAAACTATATCAACTCCTATCAAAACTGACTGCATTATGTTTCCATGTTGTTTATGACACCCCGGTAAGTTTTCAAGTGTAGCTTTAATTAGGATTTTATTTTAAAATGTTGCCTTAAGTTAGTTTGGTACTTTAGTATAGCTATAAATAGTTACTATAGTGATCGATATACAACTAAAACAGCGATATATCAACATGTATGTCTGACCTGACAAGTGCCTGTGTCTTTTACAGGGATACAAAACAAATATAAACATAGTTGCGTCATTCAGGCCTATGGTGATAAGTGTATACCCTGCGGGTGGGGGTGAAGGGGAAATATTACAAGAGATGTCACTGGATACGTTTCTAGTATGCAGGATACAGGATGTTAAATCGGCTCATGTAAATTATGCATACTTGAATTTCATTACCGCAATAGGTTACCGCCTTCAAGTTGTACGACAGAAAATGAAAGATATTTATCAAATTTACAATGATATTGACCAAATTTACTCTATCACTTCATAAATTCCTATGAGAATATGATAAAAACACCTGATTAGTTTTTTTCATGAACTGTCAAATTTGTCGCTTGCACGTGATACTTTATGTAGACCCGCGGAATAAAAAGTACGTTAGATTACGCTATGCGAACCTATTGCAAACCAGTAATTTGTGGTAGTTGCATTGCTATACCTACGTGTTTTTCACGGCGGTACAATTTTGCTTCTTGCCAGCAGATTTGATTTGTGTCAGTCGTTCTATCAGTCAAATAAGCAGCTGACGAAAACCAAAATATCAATAATATTACTTCCGCTATTCTTGCAAAACATGCGCAATGAAGGTAAAATACAACTTTGAAAAGACGGTAAATAAAATCCGGAACACGAAAACCGGTAAACCTAGATTTGCAATATGAAAATGCAAATCATGTAAAAAGTGTGGTTGTTACTAACATGAAACAAAATTCAAAGTCTTTCGAATTCAACTTCACAAATAAATTCGTATGAATCTATAGAGAACATGTACAACTATAATTGCTTTGAGCATCTTATGTTGTTGTAAGATGTACACATCTCATTGTTGATATTTTATCAACACTTACTATCGTCAGTTGATTACTTACAATGTATTTAATAGCAAGAGCGATAATCATACTTAATCTAGTACTGGGTGATATCGACAGCCCTAATTCTTTTAATCATTTGACATGTCTTGTTGACGTTCGACATTGATCCTCAAAGTAAATTATTCACAACTTATCACATCAATGTGTAATGTAGTATATTTTTTTGCACTGGGACAGAGAATTCGGAATTTTATTATAAGAAATGCTCAACAATATTAACCACTTAATTATTATTAATCTTTTAATATCATTTGCACGTGTAATATAACTTTGTCACCGCCATTGTTATTGTTTACATGTTGATTGTTTACTGTTGATTCTCTCTATAATCATCATTTGTGGAGGAAATAAGTGAATAATATTAGTACTGAGTTAGTTTCTGTTGCATGTTGTATTCAGTGTTGAATTACCAACGTTGTATATATAGGAACGTGTGTGACTGTTACTGTATTCGTAGTGAATTATTAGAGAGGGCTTTGTAGAAGATGGACATACTTATTTGTAAATTATCCTCCGAAAATAAACAATTGTTATTATCCTTATTACAGACAACATGAGCGTGCAGCCAGTCATGTCGATTACTATGGGGTCCCGTTTTACTTCTTATTCCACTTAAGAATAAAGTGATATAGCCGTAATAAAATGGTGATATCATTACAGTGAACAAGGCAATATCACTGCTAAATCACTTGGAGATATCATTAATTCATTCTGGTGATATAACCTGTTCAACTGTGGTGATATCATTATAAATGCTGGGCGGTATCGCCTTATTATATCCATTATTTGCACTATTTATCCTTCAATCGCCAGAGAGACAGAAATATTTCGAAGTCTTAACGTCTTTGAATAACGCGTGTATTTGAGAAGGACAATCTAAACAGTTTTCTTCTCATTTAATTAATCATGTTTTTGTTCTTCTTTTTAGCTTTAATTTATTTGGATGTCAAAAGCTTTGACACTCTCCAAATAGACATGGGATGAATAGATAGTTCACAGAAAATGAGGCTGCTCCATCCTTCTTGGTTATCGTTTTCAACACTTTTTTTGACAACATGTGTTTGCTAGGATGTGCTCGAGCAGTAGCAGTCGGAGAAACGATTAATACAGTGCTGGAATAGAGAGCAGATTATCAGGGTTACGTACCATTATGGTTAAGGAAGCAACGATAGAAACACCGGACTCATATTCCTTTCTTGAAATTAAATACCTTGTTTGAAAATTTGAAAGAATTAACATGAAGAATAGATATTGATCTCTGGTGCCATCACTTCACATGATAGTTGACACTAAGATGATGACGAGACGGCGATCGGAATCATGGCGGTCCCCTCATCGCGATTCAAAACCAGTCCTCTGCCGTGACAAATAGAGCATTTTTGCAACGTGGTATAACGCAAGTCATTAAGGTAGTGGTCTCTTAAAATCGACCACGTTATAACATTCAAAAGAAATTATGTGAATTTACGGTGTAATTATTAAATGATTTAATCAGGCCATATATATATATACTATTATTTATAATACCAGTAATACATACAAAGCTAGTATCACCTGTAGGCAGACAACACGAGATTGTGACAATCCCTAGTATTCTGTCGCCTCTTTACAGTTTATATATAGCACTGTAAGTTATAAATGGGAATATTTATCACATAATCTGCTTCTTATCCTATGAGTTCGCTCGTGTAATATAAAGATCGCAAAAATGAAAAATTCTGAAATTCATCTCTTAAAATTTCATTTAAGATGAAACAAAACGTTAAGAGGGGGTTTAAACATAATAATTTCGACTGGACATTCATGTATCACTAGGAGTCAATATGGGTAAGTTTGAAAACATAGAAAATCATGGTTAAAATTGCCACACTATACACTAATGTATAGTTGTCTAGATATGGACGGTAATGTCGGCAGTATGACTCTGAAACACGCTGTCTGTAGTGGGATCAACTAGCACGTTTTTCCATTCCAGTGCGATAATAGATTAGCAAGGCTATTAAAAATGTTGCTGCTCTTACATGGTCAGGTAAAATTACTTTCCATAATGAAAAAGATGAACAAACATATTTCTTTTTGTCAATTTGCATGGGTTTTTTTTTATTTCACCGGGAGGGGTGCGGGAAGGATGGGGTATGTTTTGCTTATAAAAAATAAAATAATTCAAAATTATTAACTGTTGCCATGAACATATTTACTCTGTACATATGAAAAGTCGAAAAGTTACATCGTCATTTTAATCTAGTACCTAAAGCGGAAATCTCGGTCGTAAATATGAAATGGTTTCTTGCATTTTTTTAATGGAAGCATATACCTAAATCACTTATACGTAGGTCTCCGTCAACAGTCGAAATCAAGGGGTAGAAGTTTGATAAGATAAAGGTATAGTAAATGACTACGTTCCTCTATGATAAGATATCCCTAAGACGTCTAAGCATATGTATGCCCAACTTTCTCACAAGATCTCATGTAGATATTAGTAGTGGCTTGTATAAAATGTATTGTTACGATTTTAATTATTTCCCCCTTCAATTTCCTAGGTGTTATGTTTCGATTCTTAAAATCCGGAAACGTGCATCTATCCATATCCGTATCCGGCTTCCTTAATTGTTATGCAGTCGAACGCAAGATAGAAAAATGGCGGATAAGTCTTTGCCATGGGGTTTACGAACGGACAAATTAACCCCTGGCTCTACAAAGGTGTGCATTACTTTTCAGCATTTGCAGTAATTCTGGTGACGGAGAGATATATTATTTTCTGATGAGTTATATGGTGAATAACGGACTGAAATACATGCATACAGGTTTACAAATGTTCGGTCTGCATCGTTTTTGCCACTTTGTATTTAATTGCTAAATACACAAAACTAATATCAAAACGGGGTTTTAATTGTGGTAAATAGGTTAAAATCCAATATCTATCATCCATTGAAACAGGATAGGCTTTTCGATGTAGTTAATTGATTATGCCTAGAGGTCACAGGTGCCAACCGCGTCTGTCGATACACTCATACTAATAACACGGTTTGTAACTCAATCGACCTAGCGAAACGACCCAATTTAGGGAACATTGAGAATGTTACCGAACCGTTCGAGATGTCTCGCTAGATGTGGTCTGAATTGACAGATATATATGTATTTTAATTTGGTATATTTCGCAATACATTGTGCCCAGAAACTGTCTACATGCTTCATCAAACATTGTTATCTTGTCACAAATTTCAGTTAGTCTGACCCTCGTCTGGCAGATACTGAATCACAGTAAATTAACTTCAAAAACACATTAACATGACATGCATTCAGTTCAAATTACGAAGTTTTCCAGATGATAAATAATAGGTTTTGAGTCGGGCATGCAGCTTATATACTGGTGCAGCTTAAATGTGGCCTGAAAAAAGTAGAGTACCAGTACAAAATAGACATTGGTAAGGAATTTTTTACGAGTAGCTGCCCACCTCGTGTTTGTGACTGAAACAGATTGTTTAGATCCGTCACTTGTAATGTTATACAGGATGATTTGAAGATTGCAATAAAAAATAATATTCTTGTGGATTTAATTAATACTTTTTAACACCAATTTCAATAACATGTTCTTGACGTTCATGGTTACGTTACAGCAATTACAAGATAGCATGGCAGAAGTTTCCAATAGCCTATTGCATGCTGGGACATCATTGGATGATAGATCAAATTCTATAAGAACTGCCTTGATCGCTTGTGACGAAATGGCTTTGTGTAAATTACAAGAAATGATATGGGACTATAAAAAATTTGTTTTTATATATATATATGACAATATTCTACATTCTATCCATTGATATGGTGATTTTCAGATGCTGAAACTTCAAATCTTTAGAATTTTTTTTTATTTTCAAAATTATCCTGTGAAACCAATTCTTTGTTTTGGAAGTCTGATAGCTTGGACACAAGTTTCTGTAAATTAACATTATTATGATATTAAATAAATGTTGATGTTATATTTACAGGCAATATCAGAGAGCAAGTTAAAGGCTTTCGAAGTTGGTACAATGAATATTGGGAAAAAATCACTGTCGAAAAGGGAACAAGAGGAAATCAAGAAAAAGGTAAGTTTAGAAACCTAATCAGGTGGTGAATCCAAATTTATAAGAGATTTTTTTGTGTTGATGCAAGCATCAACATTTATATGTGATCTTGGCAGAAAGAAATACTCATCAGATCGATGAATAGCACAGCACCCAGATATTCATTTGTCTGAATCAATATTAACTCATCCATGACGAAACAAGTACTTCTCCACACATACTTGTACTTGATATTACATTGTTTGGTTGTGAAAACTTAAATGAATATACTTGATTATACCCCAAAAATGTTTATAGTCATTGAAATGATACTGTATACTGTATTATTATTACAGAATAAGTATACAAAACATGCAAATTGGAGAGACGGGAAGTAGACACACTGAATGTGTACTGCAATAGGGACTGTCTGACAAAACTAGCATCTTTAGTTTACATCACTGAAATTAGGAAAGACACTGGAAATAGACACACTGAGGGTGTTCTGCAATAGTGACAGTAGGTCAAATCTAGCCTCTTCAGTTTCCATCCCTGGAGTTAGGGGAAGACACTTATATGATTGAGAGTTAGATACACCAGTTCTTGCAGAGGTGCATATTTTTTACATAATATATACAGTGAGACAGAATGGTTCTTTTCCTTCCTACACATTTAGAAACTCAACTTCTTTAAAGGTAGGTGTAACATTGACATAAATGCAGATGTATCATAGAAAACTGATAAATGCCTTTTCTTTTGCAGCAAGATGCACATGCAGCAGCTCAAGTTTATGAGGAGTTTGTGGCCTCCTTTCAGGATAGTGGCAAACAAAGCAAGTCCTGGGTGAAGGGTGGAGTAGTCAACCCTGCTGAAAAGTCAAGTAAGTTTACCATCAATATCACTTACAACATACTGGTCTGTAAGAAGTCTCCTATTACTATCCCAAACAACTCTGTCTGTGTGGGACGGAGATGGAGGGACTAAAGTTCTGTTATTATTCTTCCATTAGTATCAACTCAAGGGAACTAAGTTCTGTAAGACTTCCATTGCTATGACATATAACCAGGGAAAACTTTGAAGGAGAGGTGATAGATCAGTTTGTGGAACATTGGACATTTTAACTTAGGGTGAAGACTTGATGTATTTAGTTTGATCTCTAATCAGGGCAGCTTTGTGTTTCTCTTGAAACTGAGATCCCTGACAATTCTGAAGTGTCGTTGTTATTGTGTCATTTGGCAACACAATTCTATCAGGTCTCCTTTGGCAAGCATGCAGTAGGCCTCCTGCAAATTGTTACAAGATAGTCACCAGCTACTACAAGGAAACCCTACCTATTCAAGTAGACTTCAAATTATGAAAAACATGTACAAATGAATATCATTGAAATATACTAATCAAAGGAAGAAATGACACATGATTCCTATATTTATTTTTGCAGCACCTAGTAAACCAGAGAAAAGCAAACTATACAAACCAACCTCGAAGCTGGCAGAGCTTGCATCTACATTTCAATCGGTGAAAGATGCTAAAAAAAGGGATGATGATGTCGATGATGACAGGAATGATTACAGGGCTTTCACAGATAGATCTGTGAGTACATTTAAATGTCATTTGGATATTTTAGTGGGATTATGTATAAAACACTAAATGTATGCTTATAGTGGTGATGAGAAGTGGCTCAAAAACAAGAATATTAAGCTGCTGATCTCCCATAACGTTCAATCATTATCAATGAACAGCCCTATATCAATAGTTTAAGAAGATTGAATTATATGAAGTAGATTTTTCTCTCCAAAGAGTGAATTACTTGCAGTTGCTTCCCATATTTTAGGTAATTAATTGATTTATGAGTGACTTTTGGTTACACTAAATGGATAAAATAGTTATTTTAAAAGTATTTCATTTGTTTTTCATTATTTTTTTTAAGAGTGGCATACTTGAAAGTTTTACTCTATTGGATATAAGGGATTTTATTAGAAAACTATCAGATTTTACTGAGAAATCAATCTTGGTAATTTATGGTTGATGAAAAAGGCACTATCTACATATCTACAAAAAAAAACAACAATTTGGTGGCATCACAGGAAGTTTTAGAAAGATGGAACTTGATTCAATACATTTAGAAATGTTCTTTTTACTGATCATGTGTTAAACATTTGTTTTTAGAGCTTTAGTGTGGGAAAGAAGAAAAAGGAAGATCAAAAGAAGAGGAGCAATCTAGAAATATTCAAGGAGGAATTAAAACAGTGAGTTTTATAGTTAGACACGAGTGATGATCATTAGACACGAGTGATGATCATTAGACACGAGTGGTGATCATTAGACACCAGTGATGATCATTAGGCACCAGTGATGATCATTAGACACCAGTGATGATCATTAGGCACCAGTGGTGATCATTAGACACCAGTGGTGATCATTAGACACGAGTGATGATCATTAGACACCAGTGGTGATCATTAGACACGAGTGGTGATCATTAGACACCAGTGGTGATCATTAGGCACCAGTGGTGATCATTAGACACGAGTGATGATCATTAGACACCAGTGATGATCATTAGACACCAGTGGTGATCATTAGGCACCAGTGGTGATCATTAGACACGAGTGATGATCATTAGACACGAGTGATGATCATTAGACACCGGTGATCATTAGACACCAGTGATGATCATTAGACACTAGTGATGATCATTAGGCACCAGTGATGATCATTAGACACCAGTGGTGATCATTAGGCACCAGTGATGATCATTAGGCACCAGTGGTGATCATTAGGCACCAGTGATGATCATTAGGCACCAGTGATGATCATTAGGCACCAGTGGTGATCATTAGGCACCAGTGGGCACCAGTGATGATCATTAGACACCAGTGGTGATCATTAGGCACCAGTGACGATCATTAGGCACCAGTGATGATCATTAGGCACCAGTGGTGATCATTAGGCACCAGTGGTGATCATTAGACACTAGTGATGATCATTAGGCACCAGTGGTGATCATTAGACACTAGTGATGATCATTAGGCACCAGTGGTGATCATTAGGCACCAGTGGTGATCATTAGACACCACTGAAGATCCTTAGATATCGTTGATGATCATTAGGCACCAGTGGTGATCATTAGACACCAGTGGTGATCATTAGACACAGTGGTGATCATTAGACACCAGTGATGATCATTAGGCACCAGTGATGATCATTAGACACGAGTGGTGATCATTAGACACGAGTGGTGATCATTAGACACCGGTGATCATTAGACACCACTGAAGATCCTTAGATATCGTTGATGATCATTAGGCACCAGTGGTGATCATTAGGCACCAGTGGTGATCATTAGGCACCAGTGATGATCATTAGACACCAGTGATGATCATTAGACACTAGTGATGATCATTAGACACCACTGAAGATCATTAGACACGAGTGGTGATCATTAGACACTGGTGGTGATCATTAGACACCAGTGGTTATCATTAGACACAGTGGTGATCGTTAGGCACCAGTGGTGATCATTAGACACCAGTGTTGATCACTAGACACCAGTGATGATCATTAGGCATTGGTGATGATCATTAGACACCAGTGGTGATCATTAGACACCAGTGATGATCATTAGGCACCAGTGATGATCATTAGACACCAGTGGTGATCATTAGACACCAGTGGTGATCATTAGACACCAGTGATGATCATTAGGCACCAGTGGTGATCATTAGACACCAGTGGTGATCATTAGACACCAGTGGTGATCATTAGACACCAGTGATGATCATTAGACACTAGTGGTGATCATTAGACACCAGTGGTGATCATTAGACACCGGTGATCATAAGACACCACTGAAGATCCTTAGATATCGTTGATGATCATTAGGCACCAGTGATCATTAGACACCAGTGATGATCATTAGACACAGTGGTGATCGTTAGACACCAGTGGTGATCATTAGACACCAGTGGTGATCATTAGACACCAGTGGTGATCATTAGGCACCAGTGGTGATCATTAGACACAGTGGTGATCATTAGACACCAGTGGTTATCATTAGACACAGTGGTGATCATTAGACACCAGTGATCATTAGACACAGTGGTGATCATTAGACACCAGTGATGATCATTAGACACTAGTGGTGATCATTAGACACCAGTGGTGATCATTAGACACAGTGGTGATCATTAGGCACCAGTGATGATCATTAGACACAGTGGTGATCATTAGACACCAGTGATGATCATTAGACACTAGTGGTGATCATTAGACACCAGTGATGATCATTAGACACCAGTGATGATCATTAGGCACCAGTGGTGATCATTAGACACCAGTGATGATCATTAGACACAGTGGTGATCATTAGACACCAGTGATGATCATTAGACACTAGTGATGATCATTAGGCACCAGTGGTGATCATTAGACACCGGTGATCATTAGACACCACTGAAGATCCTTAGATATCGTTGATGATCATTAGGCACCAGTGGTGATCATTAGACACCAGTGATGATCATTAGGCACCACTGAAGATCCTTAGATATCGTTGATGATCATTAGGCACCAGTGATGATCATTAGACACCAGTGGTGATCATTAGACACCAGTGATGATCATTAGACACTAGTGATGATCATTAGGCACCAGTGGTGATCATTAGACACGAGTGGTGATCATTAGACACCGGTGGTGATCATTAGACACCAGTGGTGATCATTAGACACCGGTGGTGATCATTAGACACCAGTGGTTATCATTAGACACAGTGGTGATCGTTAGACACAGTGGTGATCATTAGACACCAGTGTTGATCACTAGACACCAGTGATGATCATTAGACACCAGTGATGATCATTAGACACCGGTGGTGATCATTAGACACCAGTGGTGATCATTAGACACCAGTGGTGATCATTAGACACTAGTGGTGATCATTAGACACCGGTGGTGATCATTAGACACCAGTGGTGATCATTAGACACCAGTGGTGATCATTAGACACTAGTGGTGATCATTAGACACCGGTGGTGATCATTAGACACAGTGGTGATCATTAGACACTAGTGGTGATCATTAGACACCAGTGGTGATCATTAGACACCAGTGTTGATCACTAGACACCAGTGATGATCATTAGGCATTGGTGATGATCATGAATATGTCCAATACATTTTCAAAGTGAAAGTTTTGTTTTGTGTGTGAGGTATTTATGCTTGAACTATTTACTATTTATTAGTCCATTTTAAAATTCTTGGAAAGCAGGCACTGCTTAAAGGGATATTCTGTATAAGAAATCATCCACTTACATTTCTTTGGAACTCATACAACTTGTTTTACGGTTTAAAATGTCGGCTGTTCAAACTGACCACAGGAAAGATATTTTGATGTTTACAATAGTTTTAAAAGTCACAAGAATTAGTTCTTTAAAGGTACAGAACAGCCAGAAGTTTTGCAACCTTGGCAGAGTATCCCTTTAGCATTAATCTGGTACTACTTTGCAATGTTTCACTGCCTATAATGAATTTACTTGATTTACTATTTTCCCGAAGAATACAACTAGAGAGGGAAGAACGACACAGGTGGAAATCAGGACTCAAAAATCAAGGGTTTGACCCTGGTACTGAACCCATTGAGGATAGATTTGGGAAATATGAGGCTTCCTTAGAACCAGGATTTAATAAAGGTATGTTGGTAGGGCCCTAAGATTGTCAAAATTTAATTTCATTTATTCGTATAAATTAATAGGATAATTTTATAATTAGGATATCACCAAGTCTGTTTACTATTAATTCAATCAGACATTTAAGGAATAGTTTATGTTTCATTTTGGTATTTGTTTGGGTAAAACACTTTCCGCTACAACTTTCCTAAAAGCAGTTGTTTTTTGTTCCCAGTGCTTAAAAGAATTTTCTTTATGACTGAACTTTTACAAATTGTACATGTTTACTATTTAATAATTTAAGACCCCAGATATATACCTATATCTTTTCAACTAAAATCTATAAAAATGCGAAGAGAAGTAATGGTTACAAGCTTTTTGGCTCATATTAATCACTCATGTTGGCTTGGAATAGAAATGCACAAGGGGTTTTAACAGCAAGAGGAAGCCAAGTTGCCTAGACGAAAGTTGAGCGCATAACCACTATGTCACTTGACCACCTCTATATTCCACCTAATTGTAATGAAAAATATTGTGCTTGAGTAAGGAATTTAAATTAAAATAAAAGAAAATTGGTTTTCAGCTGATAGCATGCGACTTGGTCCATATGATCCTGCAGACGAGAGTACAACAAATATTTATGTGGGCAACATCAATCCAAAGGTATGCTTTTTTATATCCTTCATGGTTAAGCAGTCCATATGATGACTTTTACTTTCTGTTCATTATTTCAAAAAGTTTCATTAAAATATCCTGGGTGAATGGGTTCTGTTTTTTGTAAATTCTGTGGAGGATACTTACATGGATGGTGTCTCCGTAGTCAGAATTCTGACGTTTTATCAATAGAGCATCAGAATATTTCTGACTAATGTCTCTGATGTTCTTCTGACGTGTGATCTTTCCTTATTATTATGGTTTGTACTTGGTTATTATATGAAGTATGGTTGAGAACATGGCTGGGTCTTGAATGATGTGAAAAACAAACCAGTAAACTTCAAGTAATTTACAACAATTTTAAAACAAGTTTTATCAAAAAAGAAAAAATGGAAGGAAAAAGATAATTCAATGACTGTTGAATAAAATTCTGAGAGGTTCCAGAGGTCAGATTCATTTAAGTGTTTGAAATAAATTTGTTATCTTTTAATATAATACCAAAAATAAATGTTTCAATTCTTAACAACACTTAATATTACCTTTACAGATGACAGAGCAACAGTTGTGTGAGGTGTTTGGGAGGTATGGACCACTTGCTAGTGTGAAAATTATGTGGCCAAGAACAGATGAAGAGCGATCAAGGGGAAGGAACTGTGGTTTTGTGGCCTTCATGAACAGGAAAGATGGAGAGCGAGCCATGAACTCACTCAAGGGTAAGCACAAGCATAAAGGCTGAGGAAAAATTAAAATGTTGCTTTACATGATCATTACATGAACTGGAACTTATAAGCAGACATTTTTTAAAGACAAATATTGGCTACTGTGACTCATTGTGTTCTGACTGAAATGTGAACTTTTTTTGATAAACAACCGTCTAGCTATTTGAGATAGTAACAATACCCTTTAGGGTAAAAAGATCATTCTGTATGAATTTTGAAAGAAAAAAACATTTTGAATAATGTTACACTTGTACTGCTGTAAAAATAATGATTATGTTTTTATCCTTTAAAATGTTCCATAACATATGTCCTATATACAGGATCAGCAATATTTGATGTATTCAAGCATTACTAAAGTGTGTTGAGGAAAAACTAATTTTATTGGATTTACAAACATTACTGGCATTTCTGTAGTTTATATTAGATATTTTCCTATGACTTATAAAGCTGATTAACTATCTGAATTTAGATGAATTTAAAAAAGTTTCCTGAAACTTTAAATGCATACTTTGTTGTATATAAACATTTATATTTGTTAGCAATATTTTATTGAATCTTTACAATACACTATATTTATTTTATCAAAGTGTGGTATTAAAGGGCAGTTTGCTGTTGAATTCTGAATGTTTGACACAGGCAAGGAAGTGATGCAATTTGAAATGAAGTTAGGGTGGGGTAAGGCAGTGCCCATACCACCACACCCAGTCTATATACCTCCCGCTCTAGTCGAGCTAACACAACCGCCACCCCCTTCTGGGTTGCCATTCAACGCTCAGCCAAGCAAGAGCAGTCGCCGACTACGATCGGAAAAATTATATGGCAATGTGCCACCTCCAGGCATAAATGGATCATCAAAAGACGAGCCTGCAGAGGACTTAGAGAAGGTAAATGGAGCCGAAATAGTCATGTCTACAGCTCCCTTCTGCCTTTGTTTCCTACTTGTCTCCCTGTGATCTTTTGAAAATGTTTCCATAGAAATTCAAAAGATTTGAGATTTGGTTCTTGAAAAGCCGAACATCATATGTCAGCATATGACATTTAATTTTGAACATTGATTTTTAAGGCTGAATAAGAAAATTCTGTTTCAACATTCAATCCAAAAAGCCTTTTTTTTCACACACACCCATCCTGGCTCCATGATTCTAGTTTTTATACAATATTTCTATGCATACTACAGAAAATCTTTTATCCCATCTGTTTGATTTGTACAAAATATAAAGTAAATTCAACACTTCACTTTAATCATATTTTGATATATGTAATTTATTTCATTTACCTAATCAATTCTCATAACATGTTAAGATAATGATTAATATTGATTATCATATAATACTTTAGTTAACCTTCTGTACAAAACTTTTGTCTAAATGATCAGATCTTTTAATAATACTTTTGGAAATATATGTATGTATGTATTATTGACATGTTTGGAGAGCCCATACTTAATAGAACTTAATTTGGTTTTTCAACTGCGATTTCTCCAGACTTTAGCCAAAGCTGTTGTGAAAGTGGTAATTCCCACAGAAAGGTATACCATTTTAGTTTTTCTACATAGAACCACAGTTTGTACAATAATAGATGTTTAAAAGTTAGGGATTGGTAGGGAATGGACTCACCATGGAAGGACCATCACCTCACTGGCGCCACCTGCTGGACAAGGAGTTGATCACAGAGGAGGGAAAATGTTTTTAGATTTCAATTTGCTTATATATTTTTTACATATATATAAAAAAAATCTGCATTTGTTTTCAAAAGAAATCAAGAAGGCAAAATGTTTGAATTTATTTTAAAGTCAGATTTTTCAAAGCCTTTAATACATTTTGACAAATATTCTATAAGCTGATTGCAATGCAATAAAATTTTCATCTTTTCATTTAGGATTTTGGAAAGAAAATTTTTGATATTGTATTGACAAAAGATATTTGTGAAATTAATGTAAAGGAATTAATATACCATATTGTAAACAGGAAAAAAAATATGGATATTTTGAAGCTTATGAAATTGCATTTTTTTCCACATATGTTTTCAATTCTGTTCAACTTATTTTAACAAAATTTATATTTTGATTCATGGTTTCCAAAGATGTTCTTTTACATACTGGAATCAATATGTAGCTAACACAGATAAAATTGATTTCATCTTTTTAAAAAGACTTTTCAGAAAAAGAAGAAAACAATGGTTGAAATTTTACTTGTTTAGATATAAATCCAGTCTTCCTAACTTCTTCACATTTCTTCAGTGATAAGTTCAGGTCATATTTCAAGTGTAAATATATTCCATATATTCTTATTTATATTTTCTATTCATATTTTCTTTTTTGCAATTAAATATTTATTTAATATTCAAGCCATACTGATGTTACTTGAACATTTCAATTTTTGTGAGAAAGTGAAAAAATGATGTGGACATATTCTGTAAAACATTCTGTGTGTCTGTTTTTAGAATTGATATGAATAATGCATGTGCAAGCTAAAACACGCCAGTATACCTGTCTATAGAGGACATCTGTACTGATAACCTGTCTATAGTGGATATCTGTACTGGTAACCTGTCTATAGTGGACATCTGTACTGATAACCTGTCTATAGTGGATATCTGTACTGATAACCTGTCCATAGTTGATATCTGTACTGATAACCTGTCTAAAGTGGACATCTGTTCTGATAACCTGTCTATAGTGGATATCTGTACTGATAACCTGTCTAAAGTGGACATCTGTACTGATAACCTGTCTGTAGTGGATATCTGTACTGATACCCTGTCTATAGTGGACATCTGTACTGATAACCTGTCTATAGTGGACATCTGTACTGATAACCTGTCTATAGTGGATATCTGTACTGATAACCTGTCTATAGTGGACATCTGTACTGATAACCTGTCTATAGTGGATATCTGTACTGATAACCTGTCCATAGTGGACATCTGTACTGATAACCTGTCTATAGGTGACATCCGTTCTGATAACCTGTCTATAGTGGATATCTGTACTGATAACCTGTCTATAGTGGATATCTGTACTGATAACCTGTCTATAATGGATATCTGTACTGATAACCTGTCTATAGTGGACATCTGTATTGATAACCTGTCTATAGGTGACATCCGTTCTGATAACCTGTCTATAGTGGATATCTGTACTGATAACCTGTCTAAAGTGGACATCTGTACTGATAACCTGTCTGTAGTGGACATCTGTATTGATAACCTGTCTATAGTGGACATCTGTACTGATAACCTGTCTATAGTGGACATCTGTACTGATAACCTGTCTATAGTGGATATCTGTACTGATAAGCTGTCTATAGTGGATATCTGTACTGATAACCTGTCTATAGAAGATATCTGTACTGATAACCTGTCTATAATGAACATCTGTACTGATAACCTGTCTAAAGTGGATATCTGTACTGATAACCTGTCTATAGAAGATATCTGTACTGATAACCTGTCTATAATGAACATCTGTACTGATAACCTGTCTATTGTGGACATCTGTACTGATAACCTGTCTATAGTAGATATCTGTACTGATACCCTGTCTATAGTGGATATCTGTACTGATAACCTGTCTATAGTGGACATCTGTACTGATAACCTGTCTATAGTGGACATCTGTACTGATAACCTGTCTATAGTGGATATCTGTACTGATAACCTGTCTATAGTGGACATCTGTATTGATAACCTGTCTATAGTGGACATCTGTATTGATAACCTGTCTATAGTGGACATCTGTACTGATAACCTGTCTATAGTGAACATCTGTACTGATAACCTGTCTATAGTGAACATCTGTACTGATAACCTGTCTATAGTAAATATCTGTACTGATAACCTGTCTATTGTGGACATCTGTACTGATAACCTGTCTATTGTGGACATATGTACTGATAACCTGTCTATAGTGGACATCTGTACTGATAACCTGTCTATAGTGGACATCTGTATTGATAACCTGTCTATAGAGGACATCTGTACTGATAACCTGTCTATAGTGGACATCTGTATTGATAACCTGTCTATAGTGGACATCTGTACTGATAACCTGTCTATAGTGGATATCTGTACTGATAACCTGTCTATAGTGGATATCTGTACTGATAACCTATCTATAGTGGACATCTGTACTGATAACCTGTCTATAGTGGACATCTGTTACTGATACCCTGTCTATAGTGGATATCTGTACTGATAACCTGTCTATAGTGGACATCTGTACTGATAACCTGTCTATAGTGGATATCTGTATTGATAACCTGTCTATAGTGGATATCTGTATTGATAACCTGCCTATAGTGGACATCTGTACTGATAACCTGTCTATAGTAAATATCTGTACCGGTATCCAGTCTATAGTAGATATCTTTTTGTATACTATACATGAATTAATGTCACCCGACAAGGTTAAGTTTCTTTTTTATCTATAACTTATAAAATCAGAAATAATAATTCATTTTTGAGGTCAATACAATAAGTCATTCATCTCTATGGACAGGCTAAAGAATATGGAGAGTGTGCATAAATTTCCAACATTATTAATAAATCTACTGTATGTTTCTGAATGCTTTGTGTGGTTTCAAGTGTGTATGTTATAAAAAGTCTTTATCTGTCTAATGACAATGCTTTGAATCATCATCAGAAAAATCAGTATCATGAGGCTGGATTTGTAAAAATTTACAAATTATTTATTTTGTAAAATTATAAAGAGTGTTGACAATTACAAAAAACAAAATCCCCCAAAAACAAAAAAAAAATGGTAGGTTTGATTTCAAGTAAACAAATTGTATTCATATTTCCATTATTTGTCGTATTTCAACAGTGAATGTTTCCAGTGTAGTGTACAGAGCACTGATATCATCAACATTTGTCTTTACTTTTTATCTGTCCATACAACATTTTTGAAATCCAACATTCAGTAAGCTGTTATGTTTGTAGAATGTACTGCACTAATACATCAAATTTATGTCACTGTGACCACTATTTTCATCTTTACTGTTCTTGATTAGATTTTGCAATTGCCTTCATTTCTATCGAAGTAGAAGAAATAACATTTCCATTCAAAATGTTTCCAAATTTTGAAAAAAGATGACCGGATTTCTTGTCAAAGCTTAATTATTATCAATTTCAGTTAGATTGAATAAACATTTTTTTGTGTCCTCCAGAACATTTTAAAGCTCCCAAAGAAACATTTCAACTGCAGCAAAAACTAAAATCGGCTTTTTCTGTGATGAAAATTAACTTAAAGAAAAAAAAATGTGATTAATTCTGATGATGATTTAGAGATGTTCAGGAAATGTCCTTGAATGGTTTTATTCTGTCAAATGAAACAATGCTTCTATTTGGATAAGAATTAAAGAAAGTGGCGTTTCTTAGTACCAGAAGTCTTGGTTAAAGATTATGTGTTGCCAAGGTAATACATGTTTTGAATCTTAGAGTCCTTGATAAATAGATTAAAAAACAAGACACTGAAATAATCCTTGGTTACTTTAAAGAGAGAAAGAAATACATTTTCCAAATTATGATGCATGTGTTATAACAAAAAACTGATTCAAGGAATTTCCTGCTAGGAAGTATTTATTGTGGAGGAGAGTGTGAGATCTGCTTTTTTGTACATAATTTTTTTGTGATTTACTAAAAATATGAACAATTTAAGCTGGAAATATTTCCACTATTTAATAGTGGTGAGAGATTCTCACCCGAGAGTTTGTGGTTCGACTGTTGTGCTTCTTTTATACAGAAATCTTCTCTGTGTGATACATCGAATGATCGAGTTTGTTGTTCGAGAAGGTCCAATGTTTGAAGCCATGATCATGAATAGAGAAATCAATAACCCAATGTTCAGGTAAGCATTAACTTTACATATTTTTGTTATTTTAATTAGATAATTAGAAATACCAAAAATATAACATGCAGACTATTTTCAGGAATAAATGTATAATAGAATGTTTTGGTGTATGAAGGATCAGCTATGTTGATTTCAATGGTCCTTCTATTGAAGATCATAGCAAATGCTTTGTATACATATTGTGTAGGAGTTTTCAAAATCACCTTTAATAGTATTTTATACAAAATTTAAGTTAAATTTGCTAATTTTTGTGTCTAGATAATCAATTCAGAATTAGATATTAAGAGTTCCTAAATATTTTCAATTTCCATAAATATTTACATGGATAACGCTGTGCATCTTGTAGAAATATTGAATTATTTATTTCAATAATTGGTAAAATAAAATCTTTTGAACAACAAATACTTCTGCCTTTATGATAATTTGATCCTCAATTCTCCACTATAAATGGATTTTGGTATGATTTGAAGTGAAATATTATTTTTTTGGCATGTTTATACCTCTTTGCTGTATCGACATGATTTTGATGTAAATGGTGGTGATTTTCTGTGCTTGCACGTTTATGATTTGTCTTTTTAACCCCAACAAAGTTAATACCAACAACTTTGTTACCTCAAAGTCAGAGAACAGGACCGAACAATTTTCATTGTGCAAGTTCTCTGATTTTGAAGATGTTAGAGTGTTTGTTTCTAACTCTGAATTACTAGTACAGTGTTAGCCCTCTACTCAGTAAGCCTTTGTGCAAATCCTGTCACATATATTACATACTAGCAGAAGCAAGAATTAAGCTTGCTAGTTTATATGCATCAATTTGAATGTGACTCAGTTCATACAGAGCTAATACTTATTAGATGCAAGTGAACTATCGTGTAGAGCTTCATGCTTAGGTTGGGAAGGAAGGGGACTATATAATATCCAGCTGCTCTGTAAAAATGTGGAACTCATTGTGATCAGAAATGTTGTAAAAAAAAGCAAGAAAAACACTTCTTTCACCCTCGTAACAAATGTTAAAATTGATGGTTGATACAAGTAAATAATTTTGAAGAATGAAAATTGTGAAATATTGTAATGACTGCTGAAATTCAGGAAATGCCTGATTAAGAACAGTGTGATTGGGATTTGCACAATACTTACGCTGTTTTAGCTAAATAGTTTATTTTTAAATCAACAAAAAGCTGTATATTTTCAAAATACAGTTTGTATCATGTGTGTATGTTTACCTGCTAGTAATATAGTTCATTTATAGTAGTCCTGACAGTACAAACTTTTTCTTCTTCATAATTGGACTTTTATGCAGATGTGTGTTGTATTTTTTTTCCTTTCTCTTTTTTTTCGGCGGTAGTTAGTTCAGGAATGCTACATCAAGTCTCCCACAGTGATTCCAAGTTAACAATTAATTTCCACATGCAAAAACAGCATATACCAACATTTTCAGGATATGTCATTTTTTGTTTTGTTTGTTTGTTTGTTTTTTTTTTTTTTTTTTTGAGAAAATCACTTATTGTGTGATACTTACATTGAAGATCATCATCTTGTATGATAAATATCCATTCATCATAATACATACTGCTAATTTTTTCTTTCCTTTTTGTTTTTTTGGTTTTTTTTTTTTTTTTGAAATGTAAATGAAATTTTGACTTGAAAGAGGTCACAGAGCATCAAATAAATGTTGCTGTGTTTGGTATTAAAATTGTTGCAGCATTTCTTGCCATCTATCATTACTGTTGCTTGAAAATATCATATACCCTGTGTACACATGTATTTAATGATATACCCTTACCTATTCAATAGAGAGGTAAGTACACCATTATACTCCCAATATCTCTATACCATGTCAAGTGTTCTTGTGTCTAAACTAATCCTCAGGAATCAGGAACTGAAAAGTTATTGAAATGTTGACTTGCAGTAGTTGTATTTGATAACAAGATATTAAAAATGTTTCATTATTTTAAAATATATGGGAATGTTTTAACAGGTCAATGTCCATTTAGTATTGTTTTAATGCACACATTTACTGGGAGATGTGATTTTTATTATTCCAGATGAATAGTATAATACAGACTTTGTCATACTTGTACTTTTTTACTATTGCAAGCGGGAAAATTTTATGAAAATCAAGAATCCAAGGTCGGACAGTTGACCATTATTTCTGTTGCATGTTGTAACTGCTTTCAATGTTTGCTTGTTTTCTATATAACTTATCCCCAAGTTTGATAGATGGAGATCCTGTTGATTTTCAATAGAAAAGCAGTTACCTTACCTGGTGTACATGTACTTGTGGTATATAGTGTGCCTGGATCTCCTAGTACACCCGTAGCTTGTTCCAGATGTACTGTTTATTAAGTTTTTGATTTTGATACAACCAAATTTTCTTTTTTGTTATTTCTGTTTGATTTTGAAGATAATTTGTTTGTTACAATATGATGCTACAAGGTAAACTTATTTTGATTTATTTTGAAATATTTCTGTTAACTTTTAAAAGTAACTGACCAAAGCTTTGCTATGTGTTAGAAACTTAGATAAGGAATAGAATTTCGATATTTGAATTTAAATTACAAGTGGTAGATTTTCATGCATTATGGCTTTTATATTTGAATTTAAATTACAATCAAAACTGACTGCACTTCCTAGTGATTTTCATTTGTCTTACATTGGCTTCTAAAAACCTTGAAAAACAAAGTTACACAATTGTTACTTGTACAATTGAAAGATATATCTGTGAAATGGCTGAAATTTAAAGCATTAGTTTTCATTTATTCCTAACAGTGATGTATATGCTCTTTTAGGAAGCATATTTGTAGGAGATATATCTATGAATTGAAAATGATTGTTGCACCTGCATTAAACAAGCCAAGATGGTTGTTTTCAGTAATATTCTAAAATTGATTAATCAAAATTTTTGAGAGATGTGAAAACCAACAGAAGTGTTTCAGTGCCCTGTATCAGTAATGTAGCATGGGAATTGACTGTTAATAATGGTGTATACCTGGTGATTGCAGGTTCCTGTTCGACAACCAGAGCCCAGCACACCTCTATTATAGATGGAAAATGTTCACCATTCTTCAGGTAGGTACTTCTTTGGAGTATTTTTGTGGGAGGATTGATAAAAAGTGGAAAGTTTTTAAGGGGAAGGGAGTGGTAACAAGTTTGTGGTAAACCTTAGATTTGAAATCAGCTGGTGATACATTTTACATTTCATATAGAATTAGGACAAATTTTGAATATTTGAAATCAAATTATGATAAATTTTAGATTTGAAATCAAATATATCCTAATTAATTGCCTATTTCTGTTGTTTTGTGATAAATAGTTCCTTAAAATAACAGTTATTTTGTAATCACACAGTTTCAATATTTTTGAAAAAAAATTTCCCTCTTTCTCCAAAAAATAAGACCTGCTAGTATAGCTTAAAATGTAAATGTTCCTGATAACCCAGAAAATATTTTGATTCTGCATTAATATCAGTTCAATTTATAGCATTGATATGAAAAAAGGTAACAAGACAAAATTTCAAATTTCTTGTACTACGGTATTACTTAAGGTTGATTGTCTCTGTATTAACAAGTCTTTATTTATACTTCAGGGTGACTCACCGTACAGATGGAGGACAGAAGAGTTTAAAATGTTTAAGGGAGGTTCTCAGTGGAAACCCCCACCTATGAACCCTTACACTCAGGGCATGCCAGATGAACTGGTCCGTGAGGATCTACCTCTGGATCAGGAGGATGAGGTTGTCACCAAAAAGGGACAGCTAACAGATAGGTTTGTTGATTTGATCTACCAAGTAAAGGTGTGGCTTTAGGAAATGTTTGCTGACCTATATAAACATAGCATAGACTGGAGTGAAGGTCTCATTGAGTTGTGCAAAGGTTTTGACAGATTTGAGTGGAAGTCATTTTGAATTGAATGAAGGTCACACAGATTTGAATGAAGGTCACAGTGATTGATACATTGATTATATAACTTTTGTGAGGATAGAAAATATTCTGTAAGAAAAAATGATCTTGAGAAATATCCTGATGACAAATCTTCTTTTTGCTAGTCAAAGAGATCGCTTAGAAGATACATTACGTGAGCTAACGCCAGAGCGAATGAAAATTGGTGACGCAATGGTGTGGTGCCTAGATCATGCGGAGGCGGCAGAGGAAATTGTAGAATGTATTACTGAGTCCTTGTCCATACTACAGACTCCAATTCCAAAAAAGGTCAGTCTCCATGCAACATCTGCTGTATTTTTCCAGCCCATGCCTCACAATAAGTCTATTGTAGTTTCAGTAGAAATTTCAGAGATTGCTCATTATTGTCCTGTAAACAAAACACCTCCCCTCTTCGAGTCAGTGGTAATATATTGGCCCTTGGATAACCTATGGATAGATGTGGTATATAAAGTCTTGTGACCTTTCAGTCTTTAAAACTAGCTTTTGCATCTTGAAAGATTGATTAATGTACAATTTTCCTGCGACTTTTAGGTGCTAAATGAGGCATTGCTCTGGTAATTCAATTTGCACATGTACCACAGCAGGCATTTTTAACATAACTTATTCTGTTATGGAATTTAAGCTTTAAAACTTGTAATGCAATATATATATATGTTATTGATCGGAGTGTTTGACTGGACATCAATTTAATGATTACAAAACTTTGACATTCATGTCTTGTTTGTGTTACAGATTGCAAGGTTGTTCCTGGTGTCAGATATTTTATTTAACAGTAGTGCTAAAGTCCCCAATGCTTCATTCTTTAGAAAATGGTAAGTCTTCACATACATTCATTATAGAAATGTAAACTTAAGGATGTTTGATAACGATTAGAAAAAGATGTTGCAACTTCACTAGTAATGTGCTTCTCTGATTTTAAACACAGAAGTACTTAACTTATATTAAGAATTTGATAAGGCTGAGTTACAAAATGGCAAATTATACATTGAAGGGAGATTAACTTTACTATTTAAAGAAAGGATTTCTTGATGTATCGCCAAGAATATGTTTTCTTTGATGAATTTTTATATTTGACCATTTTAATTTTTGAAAAACTATAATCTCTGCTGTTTTTCAGTTATCAAATTAAATTACGGGAAATCGCTAAAAATGTGTTTTCTTTGATGAATTTTTATATTTGACCATTTTAATTTTTGAAAAACTATAATCTCTGCTGTTTTTCAGTTATCAAATTAAATTACGGGAAATCGCTAAAAATATGTTTTCTTTGATGAATTTTATATTTGATAGTTGGATTTTTTGAAAACTATAATCTCTGCTGTTTTTCAGTTTTCAAATTAAATTACGGGAAATATTCAAAGATGTACACGAGACCTATGTAAATATTGATGGCAGGTTAAAAGCAGAACAGTTTAAAGTAAGTATATGTGGCCTGTAAAACAAATATCTCACATGTTGGCAGCTAAATCTGTATTGTTATTGAACAGGAACTTTGTATTGTTCAAGATACTTAACAGTATAATAATTGAGTCAAGATACTTCTCTTGAACATTAAATTCTATTATGTTGGGCTTTTCATTACAATAAAAGTGAAATATTCTATCACTCTTGTATGATTTTTATATTAAAATCTTGTGGTTGAAGAAGAAAGACTTGTCAAAGCCTCTAACAATTACATGTAGCTGTTGAAAGTTGAAATTTGTCTTTAATTTTGATAATTTTTCTTCATTGTGAAACTTTGAATTGTTGAAGAAAATTTGTTGAAACTGGACATATGTATTAGATTTCTACAATTACAATATATTCCACCCAATTAAGGGAGATAAGCCCGAAAAAAGTTATTTAATATTATATGTGTTCATTTTATTTATAGCAAAAAGTGATGGGCTGTTTCCGGGCCTGGGAAGACTGGGCTATTTATCCTAATGACTATCTAATTAACCTACAGAATATATTTCTTGGTCTTGTACCTACTAAGGTAAGAAACTTGTGTTAACAGCCTGTGTCTGATCTGAGATAAGTCTTGTTATAATTCTGATGGATTCCTGGATCGATCTGTAACATAGGTTTCCCAGGACCTTACTTTTGTATGTGCAACTTATGAGACTGATCAGGGAAATCAAAATGTCTGACAGTTGACCATATTGGATTCTGACAGTTAAAGTGGGTTTTTAGGTCACATAAGGCAAAGTCTTGAGTAACCTATTGCGATCGTCGTTTGTCTGATGTTGTACGTCATCTGGCATAAACATTTTTGACATTATCCATAACCAAATGATCATGGTCATGATATTGGGTGAAGGCCTACCAAATTTGTTCTAATGAATGACCTGGACTTATTTTCAAGGTCACAGGGGTCAAATGTGTGAAAATTTTGAAATGACTTCACCCCCAAACTCAATAAAAGGTCTACTACATAGGTCACTGTTATTAGAATTAGACTTTTGTCATCATGTTTTGGTTTACAAATGATAACTTGTAGTAGGGTTGACCGATTTATTGAAACTTGATGCAATCTATTTTTATCAGAAAACATATAGGATGGGATTGAGTTAAGGGTCAAAAGGTCAACTGTGAAGACTGGGAAGATCACTTACTACAATAGACATTAATGGAAGCAAAGTTTGTCAGAATAATACCAGTAGTCTACTGACCAATGTTTAAGGTCGTTGTATCAGAATTCTTTTCATGTATATACTTACAATGTAACTAGAGCGGTTGAATTCACCCTTAAAGTTCAGACACAAAGCCGGGTCTTTTCCGACATGTCAGTGTTTTAGTTTGTTTTCCAGATAATCACTCAGTTGAATTGGGGATGATAAACTTGATTAAAACTTCATACAGTATTAAGCATAAGGGAATGCATATAAAGTGCTTTTCCGTATTATTTTCTGGTTTTTGTGACCTTCCTGTCAAAACAAAGGCTTTTAGATGGAAGACATTCAGTTGTTAAAATGAGATATCTGTTCATTGCTATCAAGGTCTATGTTGCTTAGAAACTTTAATTCACAGGAAGAGTCAAATGTTGCATGCAACACTCACTGTGAGCTTCTTAATCATTGTTTTCTGTGTTTTGTTTTAAACAAATATAAGGAAAAGAAAACCTTTTAAATTGTATCTGTACTGTTGCCTTAACTTCATTTCTGAATACCTTAGAATGACTTCTATTGAAGAAAGTCTTGAATAAGATTATAAAATGAATGAGGGATGAAAAAATGGCAACATTTGTTAATGTTTCTTTTCTATGTAGACATTCAATAGAATATCACTTATAAAGTACAAGTGAAAGAAAAAAAGATAGATATGATGTTCTGACAGTGAAATGCTTTTCTGAATTTCTTATCCGACATAATAGAACTGAATATGTATAAATTTGGTGTATAAAAACATGAAAATTTGAAGCCATTTTCTTCAGAATGAATTTCTACTTTTATTTTGACGGGTGCTTTTGAATAGGATAGACCCTTTTTATATGATTTTGTGAAAGTCTTAATGATAAATTCACCAATTTCCTTCTGTTCTTTGTAGGGGGTGACCAAGTTGCCAGGTATTGATCACTCAGACAGTGAGGACCTCGATGGCGCACCTATTGAGGACCTGGATGGTGCTCCACTTGAACAGTCAAAGGAGGATCTGGATGGAAAGGTTCTTGTGGAGTACGATGGAGAACCCTACTCTGAAGATCTGGATGGGGCACCAAGTAGGTGCTATGTTACAATGAAAACTTCCATCTCGTGCATTTATACGGCCCATGATTTTTATTGTGGGGGTTTGGGGCATATAGTGTTACATGTTTTCATACCATTTTGTCCTTGGTCAATGTCGTCACTTGAGCAACCTCATTTCTTCAGGAATTTTGATCAAAAGGTTCAAAGGTCAACTATGACAAAACATCGGATGAGTTAGTGTCTCAGGGTTCAATTGTCAAGGTTAATGTTATTATTATAGACATTTGTCAGATAATGATACTTCTAAATATAGGCCATTTATGTCTTAGAAACATTTTAAAATTTTGGTGACAACTTAATTATTGACAATTAATGAAGTAAAACTCAGCATTAAGATATTTTTGTTCCTGGATTAGTTGGCGAGTACCAGAAAAAAGAGGAATGTGCTGATGTTCATGGCAGGTCCCCAGTAGCTCCAAAATTCTTTAAATCAAAGTGGGAGACAGTTGATGATGCTGAGCTTGAAGCACAGGGTATGTGTGAGCTGGAATATGCTTTTCTCTTGTATAGATAGCAAGTCAGTAAACAAAGTAACCATATCAAACAAGTTCTCAGGTGACTCTCTATTTCTCTATCATTGAACTTGTTTTATGTTTAGAAAGAGGTATAGCATCAGAAAATTATCATCTTATGATTTTCTGGTGTTGTTGTAAACTCACAGTGGAGGAGATAGATCAGTTTAGATTCAATGTCAGAATAAAAATTTTGAAGTAGATAAGCTCTTTCTTGTATTTTTGTGTATTAAACAGGAGACATGAAAATTGTATGAAAGTCATCTTTTTAAAATGATTTTTGAATGGTCTTAAGTTTTAAAGCTTCATAGAAAGCTGTTCAACATAAACATGTCCTCTTTTATTTGGATGCATACGTTTATCAAGTAGCTGTTACACTCAAGTGCTAGCAAAGGAGCCATCGGTCGATACAAAAATAAGATAAAAAAAGTTTTCTTTTTTCTATGTAGCTATGACAACCTCTAAATGGGACCTACTCGACAACCAGGAGGAAGAGGAAGAAGAGGTAGAGGAAAAATCCCAGGGAGAGATGTATGAAGATATTGATGGGCAGTAAGTAACACTTGTTAATGTACTATCAGAGAAATATCTGAAGGAGAGATGCATTGAGATATTGATGGGCAGTAAGTAACACTTGTTAATGTACTATCAGAGAAATATCTGAAGGAGAGATGCATTGAGATATTGATGGGCAGTAAGTAACACTTGTTAATGTACTATCAGAGAAATATCTGAAGGAGAGATGCATTGAGATATTGATGGGCAGTAAGTAACACTTGTTAATGTACTATCAGAGAAATATCTGAAGGAGAGATGCATTGAGATATTGATGGGCAGTAAGTAACACTTGTTAATGTACTATCAGAGAAATATCTGAAGGAGAGATGCATTGAGCCATTGATGGGCAGTAAGTTACCCTACCACTATATTGTCCTATAAAAACACCAGGAAGAGATTTATGATGTTTTTTATAGTCTGATCAAAAACTGGGATAAAAAAAGGTTATATATTTCACAGAAATTATGAACCAAACAAGTTTTCCATGTTAACTTCATTTTCAAGTTCACTATATTGCAATGATTTATATTATCTTCGATACATTAAACCCCAGAAAAATAACACTCAAGTTAACAATACCTTTGTTAAACACCATGAAAACATGTTGAATACAAACAAATTTTTTGTTATCAGACCTCTTGATGAAGAGGAAGGATACTCTAGAGGTACAGCATCAGACGAAGAAAGTTTCCAGGACTATTCCGAGTATCACCACAAACAGGAAATGACGGAGGAAAGGAGAGCAAAACTTCGGGAAATTGAGGTATCAACTAACAGTTTTATAAGGTGTATCAGAAAAAATCAGATGTTTAGGTAAACTTCAGACAAGCTCCCAAAGAATAAAACAATGGAAAAAATTTATTAAAGCTCACCTGAATTTGACTGGAAATCAAACAGTGGAATGTTTAGCTATGCATTCATTCCTTATTCAAGCATTAATTAGAAATGCATATCTTTACACTTAAAACATTGTGTTTCATATATTTCTTCCTTACGGTGATGACAGTAATGAATAAATATACAATTCCTATGTAATATAATTCCTTAAAACTCTTTTCACAACAAGTACCTTTTCCAGAACATGTTTAACTTTGGTTCTGCTGTGATTGATATTATTGTACTAAAAATGACAGCAATAGATTTACCATTATTTATAATGATGTAATTTGAAGGTTAAAGTTATGAAGTACCAAGACGAACTTGAGGCTGGAAAGAGAACTAGAAAAAATCATATAACCATATCGCAGCAAGTGGAACACTACAGAAAGAAACTGCTACAGAAGGTGGGTGGTTTTGTGTGATAAAGACTTGTGTTCACCTACCTCTATATATTTCACTTTCTCATAGGTGCTTGTATTATAGGTATTAAAATGAACTTGGTTTTCAAAAATGATTGATTATGATGTCATTATAATGAAATGTGCAAAAGCATGCATGCTTTGATGAAATATGAATAATTGTGTAATTGATTTAGTGCAGTAATAGATGTAATGTTAGGATGATGCTATGCTACAACATGTTTTTTTCAGATATTTAGGAACAAACAGAATTTAAATGATATGTTCCTGGATTAATATTGTAAATATTGTTCTTTTTTCTATGAAATCCTTGAATATTCTAAACGCCATATTTGATAACTTTATATCAAATTTCCAGGAAACTGACTCACCAGGAAGAGATGCACGGAAGCGTCATCGATCAAGATCATACTCTCCTTCAGCTTATAGATCTATTTCAAGTAGTCCAAAACGAGGCTCTAAAAGATTGAAAAGGTTGGTGTTCTCTAGTATTTCAAGTCATACAAGAAATCTGTTCAAAGACTTGGAAATGAAGGAATTTATTTCCAAAATTATGAAACTCATCAAATTTTCTGAAATTTAAGATACAAAATCAGTGAAACTTTTACTCAAAGGGGATTTTTTAAGACAAAAGTTGGAATGTGAAATGCTTTTAACTGGGGCTCTGAGAAATGGTGAGGGTTTTGATCATTTGATTATTTATTGCTTTGTGATCCATCATTTGTAGTTAACAGTTTTTTAATGAGAAGCTAATTTTGCGTAAGGAAAAGCAACATTAAACTTCTGACATTCAACCTGATGAGTTTTCATTGATAAATTCAACAGTTTAGTTTTGTGTTTGTGGCTTTGATCTTGTTAAGTTAGATGTGTACAAAGCTCATTGGTATGGTGGATATGAGTTGTTATGCTCCTCACAAATTTGCAGGGGAGCATATAGTTGCCACATTGTTAACCTTGTTCTCATTGGAGTATGTGACCCTTTACTGGAATAGACCAATTAACACGGCAGGTGTCTTTGATAAAGCAGAAGATGCTTACACTTTTGGAACACTAGGTCTTAGTCTCCCTGTCTTTTGTTAAATGATTATGTCAGTGATAAATCTATGTGCTAGTCCAAAGTCCTGTACTCATAGAATTTTGGTGAGACTTCTAGAATTTCAGAAAATACTTATATTTTATGGTGTGGGACCCATTGTTTTTAAAGTCGAAAAGGACTCCTGAAAATACATCATTGATTGATCACTGTATTTGCTATCTAGGTGTCTTGTTTTTATTTCAGTCCGAAGAGGTCGCGAAGATCAAGGTCAAGGTCACCACACAAGAGATCAACTTCCAGAAGTCCAAGTAGACATCGTCACAAACACAAAAAAAGCAAACATCGAATGTAGGATTAAATTGAGGGGGGAGGGGGAAAGGGCATTGAAGGGATAAACGGGGAGATTGGCAAGCTCTCATTGTTAATCAAGAGCACTTAACTAATAAAGTTAGGAAGTTCTTTCATCATTTTCCTCAAGATATACCACAATAATTCATCATGATGATTCGAGCTGAAATATTTCATTATGTATACCATGTGTATTTGGATGTAAAGTTTTGCAGCATGCTGTAGATAGAAAATATCAACAAATCTTATAACATTTAAAACAAACGGCGAACTTATTTCTCTATAACTAGACCCACAGCACTCAGTTTATCACATCATAATATTTCTCAGAATTATTTCTTTACTATTCATTCTAGAAATCCAAGTTGAATTTGCAAATAAAGAACATTCTATGGTTCAGGGTTTCTAATTGGTATCACATTGTTAAACATGAGTCTATACCCGTTTTGTTTTCAGATGAACTAGATGATGAGACAATTTCTTTTTATGGTAATATTTTTGTTCCTTGATTGATTTCTTTCGTTACTTTTGTCATTGAAATATTTTTAGTTAAGTCCTGATAAAATGAAAATAAAATCCAAAAACATTGGATTAGCAGGTTATGTGTTTATGTGCTCTGTATTTATAAAGATTGGTTTTGGAACAACACAATCTCAATTCAGTTTGATAAGAAATATTTTATTTAAATCTGCCAGGTGATGTTTGGTACAATGCTATGATCAATAGCACATATTTTCGAACACATTGGCAATTCTCAGAAAGATTCCTATGACAATATCTGGTACATTGTATAAAACACTGATATTTAGGTAGGAAGGAGTCAATATGTAGGAAAAGGTACTTATTCAGGTTGAATAATCATATATTTTTGTGAGGTTCAAATTTCATAGTTTTCCAAAAACATCCATTTTGGTTGACACTTAATTTCCTTGATTAACCTTACAAAATCCAATTATATAAATCTTGATGGTTTCATGGACATAACATTTCTCAGATATAGAGTACCCACGAGTTAAACAAAAAAAATCCGTCGTGAAATTAATCATTTTACAGTACAGTGTATGTACTGAAATATCATTACCTTCAAAGTAGGTGAATCTACTCCTAGAATGTATTCCTAATTTGATGCTTCAGGAATCTTCCTACACTTTGGCTTAGTTTTAACTTATATAACTTGTTAAAATATCCATTCCAAGAAATTGATAGCAATGAATAAATGAATGCGCAATTTTGATTTCTGCAGAATAATTTCACTTTGAAGAATAGGCAACTATATTGTATGGTACTGGAGAATTTGTCCCTATTGCCAAAACTGCTTATAATTCTCTGTCAGAGAACATCTTACCAACAAATCAAACATTCTCGATATTATGAATGTTGATTATAAGGTATCAGATACCAGTGTTTTGATTTAGCTTTCAAAATAGATTTATCAATATACCAAACATACAAAAATGAAAACATTCTCCTGATCATGATCAATAATAATTTCTACTGTGTAATAGGTCAAACTGAATATCTCAAATCATTATTGTCACTTCTTTGTGTAGTAACACAAAGAACCTGAAAACTTTACACAGAAAATAAATCTGTATAGATTTTTATCTGAAATATTTGTCTTGTTTTTTGTTGATTTACTGTTGAAAAGATGGCTGTATTTTACCAATCAGGTTTCGTGCCCATTATTAATGAAAGCAGTTTTTAAATAACCATTTGATAAAGCGAAGAAAATATTACTTTTGTTTGATATCATTTTTTGTCTGTTACAGACTTCCAAAACATTCATGATTTATTATGTTTGAAAGAATGTTTCACATATTTTTTAGTTACAACAATGAATCATGATTGTTTCAATTTGCCCTTAAAACAGGTCACATGGCAAACTTTTTATGTCCTTTTGAGTGTTAAGTCTCAGGCGTGCATCTATATTTCCTGCTTGATAAACACCAAACACTGGCCAAAGGTCCTGCTGATCGTCTACATCTGTAAAAGTGTATATCCTTTTTGTAATGTCAAGGTCAAACACAGCGATGGTCCTAGCCACTCTGTTCATGTAGAATCCAAGTTTCAAATTTTTTTCTGTCCCAGAAGTAGAGTCACTGAGAACTTTCCTGAACATGATGGAGCCACCATTACATTTGAAGAAGAGGACAACACCATCAGTACCAGAATTATGTGCATTAACCGACCAGGCCCCACTTTGCCGACCGACATAGTGACCTTTACTGATTGCATTTTCTGTTGCAAAGGCTACCTCAAAAACCAGATTGGCTGCAGATAAGTCACTTTCTATTTGGTAGGAGATATCAGTCTCAAAGTAGACTATTTCTGTGCTTGTAAACACTGTGGAACCTCGTGCTCCCTCATACATTTGGGTTTGATAAGGTTCTGTTGGCAAGTTGTAGGATATGTCCAGTTGTAGGATATGTCCAGATGTCTATTGGACATGGTAAGTTTATCACTGGACAGATACCGTGTATACAGAGTACCTGGATCCATGAAGAAGCGGGGACCTAGACAAAATAAAGTTATTGTTTTTAAATATAATAAAGATTAACATTTCCCTGGTAAATATATGTCTTGCACATCTGACCTGGCGAGGGCAACTGGTTTTTAGCTCACCTGGCCATGTCCGTCATCCGTCCGTCAGCGTCTGTCAACTTTTCATTTAAACAACTTCTTCTGAAATACCAAAAGGCGTAGAGTTATCATATTTGGCTGGAAGGTTCCTTTGATGAAGTCAAACAGAGTTTGCAAAAACAGAAATGACCTTGACCCATATTCAAGGTCACAGAGGTAAAATGTCTTAAAACCTTTAAACAACTTCTTCCAAAATACCAGAAGGCCTAGAATCATTATATTTGGCTGGAAGGTTCCTTTGATGAAGCCCAACAAAGTTTGCAAAAAAAAAAAAAAAAAAACTTAACCCATATTCAAGGTCACAGAGGTCAAATGTATTAAAAAATTTTTAGGGACTTTCAAAATACCGGAGGGCCTAGAATCATTATATTAGGGTAATATGTTCCTCTTATGGTGTCCTACAAAGTTTGCTTAAAGAAATGACCTTAACCAATCTTCAAGGTCACAGGAGTAAAATGTGTTAAAACGTTTAAACAATTTCTTCTGAAATATCGAAAAGCCTAGAATCATTATATTTGGCCAGTTTGTTCCTTTCATGAAGTCCAAGAAAGTAAAGAAATGACCTTGACCCATGGTCAAGGTCACATGTGTCAAATGTGTTAAACGTGGAACATTTGCACAGACATAGTAATGTTGGTCATAAAGATCCAGGTGAGCGATACCGGGCCTCTTGTTTCTGGTAAAACGGAGACCTAGCCCTTCCATGAGTCCACTTGGAGGGATCAAACTTTACGACAGTTGATATTGAAACTGAACATTTTGTTATGTTGTTCCACATGGTTGTATCTTTAATAATGCACATATGAGTTACTTCAGGAAGTCAGGAATAAAGATTGTGCAAACTATGCTCTTAGTGTTCCCTAACTCACTGGGCCTGGGGAAGGTTCAAATTTTTAGGTCATCTGACCCGAAGGGTCTTGATGACCTATAGTCATCCTGTTTTACCGGTTGTCCTGCTCTGTGACTCGTGTAAACGTTCCATTCAGATCACTTCTTCTCAACCAATAGGCCCAGGTGGTGATCTTTTTGCCTATGGCATAATGGAATGAAGGGCTACCACAATTTTTGGAAATATGAATGTTCCTGACCCACTTTAAAGGTCACAGGGGTCAAATATTTTAAAATCTTTAAACAACTTCTCAATAAGAAGATGACCCAGGTTGCTGATATTATGTATAGCATGCTAGGAGGAAGTTTTTTTTCCAATATGAATTACCCTTGACCAATTTTCAATGTCACAGGGGATGAATGTGTAAAAATCTTGAAACGACTTCTTTTCTAAAACAAAATGCCAAGAGTGCAGATATTTGGCCAGTAGCTTTTTGATTAAAAGGGCTACCAAGTATTTTCACATTACTGACTTTGACCAATTTTAAGGTCCTAAAGGCTTCAGATGCTTATCTTGGGCATAGTGCATGCTTGGACGAAGAGTTACCAATTTTGTTCACGTGATAGACATTTTCTCTTTTTAAAGATCACGGGGGTCGAATGTGTTAAAATCTTTTTCTCAGTAATGAAATGGTCCAGGCTGTTGATATTTGTACGTTAACATAAGTGGATGAAGAGCTACCAAGTTCATTCAAATAATTGACCTCGACCTATATTCAAGGTCTCTTGGGTCAAATGAGTTGAGATCTTAAAATGTCTTTTTCAACGAGCAATAGGCTCGAAGTAATGACAGTTTTTTTTATTTATATTAAGAATATGATTTAAAGAATGCAGAAAATGTTTTTAATGAATCAACAATGTCTCCTTTGTAAGCTGTAGAGTAGTTGAGAAACTGTTCAGTCCCTATTTGGCCCATTGCATATATATAGTCAGATGTTAATAATTTATAGGGAAGTCTTCCTTAACCACCCCGGACAAAATTCGTTCATACTTAATTTTAGCCTTAGCAAGTCAGAATTCCTAGTAGTAAAATGAGGGTCATTACCTCCAAAGGGCACTGGTTTATGGGGCCAAAAAGTACATTTTATTTAACAATCTTTCTTTGTTGTTTTAGAAACGTCTGAGCTAAATAGTCTAAATATTTTAGTGGGCAAGCAATAAATGTTTTTATTTTTCAAGGTTTTAGAGATTAATAAGACTAGTTGTTAAACTCTTGTCACCTAACTGTTAAATGTACGTGTGATACCCGTGTGTTTCTTGTTATGATAAAAGATTTGCCCGTTATTAGCTCACCTGGTACGAAAGACTTGTTAGCTTATGCCATAGCACACCATCCATCGTCTGTCTGGCGTCCGTCAACTTTTTACTACAAATCGCTACTCCTGTGGGAATAGATGGAAACTGCCAAAATTTGGCCTCAACTATTCTGTGGCGAAGGAGAATTATTTGGTATAAATATAAGGTTTCGGCCACCTCCTGGGGCGAGAGGGACAGGGCCTACTAGTGGCAAATAGAGTTAATTCTTTAAAAATTCTATTTCTGTAGTTGGAATAATTTCACTTACACTCGAGTCCGTTGATTACACATCTCGGCGAGGGGCAGCCATTCGTCATCACTATATAAAACATGTCAAAATGCACACATTAAAATGAAAATATGACTCGGCGGAACTCGCATAGATCGATGGAAAACGCAACTAATTTCATGAGCGAAATTACGAGGAAGTAGGCTCTGCACACTTAAAGATAAGTTTATTTCAGGTTCATGACTTATATGGAAGGCTCAAAAAAGAAAAAAAATTATACAAAATATTGAAATATTAAAAATATTACAGTCATTTTACATAGACCTCTTGCAAATGTACCTCATGTATACAATTTGGAAATTATGTGATTGCAGTTCCAGTTCCGTTCCAGTTAGTAACAGTGATAACTCACAAAAATATTACAATAATGCGAACTTGTCACTGCCATTGAAACGCAAATTAACAGTGCTTCGGCAACCTAAAATAAATTGAACGGTGCACAGATCTGATTTCTTTATGACTTGATGACAATGACATGAACTATTCTCTTTCTACTGATGATAAATGTATTTTTCATATCTACCATGTTTGTGTTCGGTACGAGACTGACGTCTGTGGTATTATACCATCCCTTGTTCCAACCCACAGGGATCTTGTCAAAAACCTGACAAATCTCTGAAGTTAATTGTGAGGTCGTATTTCTGATTGACAATATAAAATAAATATTTTACCATTTTTCTGCTTTTCCATATTGTATTTAGGAGGAGAAAGCTCATAATATTTCTAAATATAAATTGCAATGTAAAGATGAAGTCTCAAATAAGTCCGTATGTTTTGCTTTCCACACACTTCAACTGTAACGTAAATGAACCGATAGTGACCCCTGACCTCATTAAACATAACCACGAAGAGTAATAAAGAAGATATGAAAACGTGAGTAAATGAATGCACGGCCTAAGGAAGACTGTAAAGGTCTCAATTCATATATTATAAACCTAGGAGGCGACTGAGGAAAATTTTAAGTAATCGAAACAAATGGCACAATCTAATTGAGGATATGCACTAGCCCTGCAATTAAGTAAATTTCGTAAATTCCATACATGTGATAATTTTAGAAGCAAAAGTTCAAATTTTTATCCGGAACTGTGCAAATACTCTAATGAAATAAAACATGACAGACAGGCTGGTAAACCCCGCGGACTAATAGTCCAGCAGTGGTGTCTATCAGGTGAAATCTCGAAGATTCTACAAAAGGCGAACAAGTGAATACCATCTGTTATTGCAACTATGGGGGAAAATTACTCAGTTCGTAAGATAAATTCTTCAGATGGTGATACTTATATCACACTTAATACATACAAATGGAGTTTTGCTAAAACAGTATACGCTGTCCCGTTCTCTCAATACCAGATATGTCTTACCTGATGCGGGATTTTCTACATTCATGGAGTCTAATTCTGAAAGGATCCGCCTGTTTTCCATCTCCAGGTGTTCCACTCTTGCTTCAAGAACTTTTATCGTGTCCAGTACTGCATGCCTCACTCGCTCTAACACGGCC